GTTTATAAAACAAGTAAGAAAGTCTAAGTTCGGGCGGAGCCGAACATGAAATACCCGGGGCAAATATTAAATATATGATTTTTACCTTTCCGAAAGCTACCGCTACATGGTAAGCCGGGGTGTATCAATTTTGAGTAAATTAGCGTCCTTAAATTTCAAAATATTGACGTTTCAAGCATTTATAAAATTTACCGTTATATGAAAAGCCATAATTTTAGTCCGATTTCAGTAATTTTCATCGTTTTGCTTTTATGTAGCAAGCACAATAAAAATACCGAGTTTGGTACAAATTGGTAGAACGGTTACCGAGATACATATATGTGATCATAAGTGGGCGGTGCCACGCCAATTTTTCAAAATTTAATTATAGACGTATTTCCTGGTAAGGAATTGTTGCAAGCAACAATTTTGAATAAATTGGCTTTAATATTTACTGATTTATCGAAGATTTCGTATTTCTCCAAATTAGCGTTATATGAGATGTGGGCGTGGTTAATATCCGATTTTAAAAATCGCAAGCCAGAGACAATCGAATTTTACCAGAGCCCAGCCAGAGGCAAAATAAATTTAACAGAAATTGTCTCATCAAAGCAAATGCATATTTTTCTTGTTAGACATGAAATGCTGATGGCTTTTTATGTTTTTACAACGCTTTTATTGTTAATTATTTAAAATAAATGCATGCATAGGTCGAAATATGTAATATTTTCATATTGTGTATATGCATATGTATGCGAGAGATACAATTTTGTGAATCTAAGATGTAAAAGTTATGCAAATATGTAGTATGCAATTAAAAAATTAGTTGGTGATTTGCCGTCGGCATTTGGGTTGAAAAAATTGACTTTTAATTGTTTACTGATTCATATGGTAGATGCTACGCTATTTTCAATGCAAAAAACCGCAGTTTTCTAGCTGCCTTAGTTTTTCCCCAAATTCACTTTAAAGATGGACACATTGACCAAAAAACGCAAATGCGCACTGTTTGGTGATTTGCTGTCGGCATTAAAAGCGAAGCAAATCGGTTTTTATACTTCTAACGATTCTAATGGTAGTTTATAGGTACGCTATTTTCAATGCAACAAACTGCAGTTTTCTAGCTGCCTTCGTTTTCTCACACATCCACTTGAAAGATGGATACATTGACAAAGAACGTACAAATGCATTGATTGCACTGCACGTGTTAACTTCAAAGTTGTTTTTATCGAAAAGTTATTTATATTGAGAAAAACTGTGCATT